CTAAGATATTTTACTTTGTTGTAAGAATGATTGACGCTGGGACATGAGGGTGAGTAGTTAACAGAGTTTTCCTTTAAGAGTGCACAGGTCTCATGGAATATTTCCAGTCAGGTGATTATTCTGAAACTTATGAAATGTTTCAAAGTGCCTTTGAGATGTTATTTCTCTTTGTAGTCATCTTTGAAACTCATTTTTGGGGTTGTGCCGAATAATGCTTTTTAACTATTTTATTATTATTATTATTATTATTATTATTATTAATGTCAGTGTAACAAACAGCATAGCAAAAAATAGTTACAGAGATTGTACATGAGTTTTGCAGAGAGGTAAAGCATCAAATAAGCACATACAAGGAAGAAAAAAAAAGCTAAAGAACAAACAACATAACAGTTTAATAGTTTTCAAGAGGAAGCAACAGATTTAATGTACTGTTGAAGCTCCTTTTCAAAAACAATAAAAGGTTTACGTTGAGACAATTTAAAGTATAGATTTTTGCAAGAATGAAACTGAGATTAATAATGAAATATTCCTCACTCTTATCATCAGGACTATTGAAAAATCCCAATCTTAAAAGATAAGAAGAATTCAGGTGGTATTTTGCGATGAATAAACAAAGAAAGTTCAATCCAGAATTATTGTGTATGAGGGCAATTCAGAAAATATGATCAGCAGTTTCAATGGGTATACAGAAAGAGCAGCATGTATCTATATCCGACTTCAGTTTTTCCAAACACGTCTTGGCTGGGTAAAATCTATGTAACAGTTTAAATGACATTTCTCTAATTTTGATAAATTATTATTATTTTTTTTTTGTAACATAATGAAACATTTGCATTACGTTATATCTCAATACATGCCAGAAAGCAAAACAGAAATGTATCTTTTAAATGGACTCACAGTTTTTACAGCTTTCTTATTAGTGGATTCAGAAATCAAGACAAATAAAAATTTTGATCTTCAAGAATAATCTGAAAGGAAGATTTATGCTTACAAAAATTACATTTGTGTATAAAATATTTAGCCACAAATATAAAAAAAATTAAATAAATAATGAAAAGCATCTGGATGTTTATTTTGATGGTTATATCCTAAAATAACATTTTCATTTTTCAACATAACATCAGGGATTATACCACTAAATATACTTAATACATTTTCCCCAAAATTTTTGGTATGTTCAAAATGGCAAAAAAGGTGAGATAGATCTACAACTTACATCAAAATTTTCAGGAATAAACCTTTGTAAAAAAAAAAAAAAAACTTTGTAGGAGGCTCTTTAGCAATATTGTGAATGAAGCGCCAAACTAACGTCAAATGTCTATTTTTTGTTTTAGGATTTATAGCCTACTTTTTCTGTATAATTCTGTACTCTTGTTAAACGTAGACCAATGGTGCCCAAACCGGCTTCAACTTCCTTCAACACACCTGCCTTGAAGTTTTTGTATAAGGTGCTTTATTAACTCTTTCGGCTGTGTTTAATTGGGGTTGGAAGTATGCAGGACACTGGCCCTCCAGAACCGAGGTTGGGCACCCCTGGGTTAGACTTTGAAGATGACCAAAGCTCTAAAATGTATCCAGGACCTGGAAGGGCAAAACATTAAGATGAAAAACCGAACCAATAGAAACGGACATTTTGGCACTTGTAAACATGTAGGCTAAATCATGGATTTTTCGATCACTTTTGGATAAAAGCCTCGTTTTTCACTTCTGATCATGTTGCGTCGCTAATGCTCTGATGTAACGTCGTGTGAAAACTCGGTAACAGAACGTGAAATTGAACGGCAGTGGGGGCGGGTTATACTACATATTCTCAGTTAAGACTCTTCCTCAGTCTGAGAGAAATCAGCCACACGTGACCATTTATTTAGTATAAAACTCGTTCAAAGGTAAAACAATTTATCATACTGTCAAATCTGTTTTTGTAAAACAATAGTCATTCGTATAATTTAAATCACTGCCTCCTTAGCTTACATAGGTAGCCTATAGCTATATCAATCGTTAAAGCTATTGTATAGGCAGTTTAACTTGGGTTGACACAGTTGAGACAGTTTTGACATGCTCTTGCCCAAAAACAAAACTCATTTAAAAGCTTGCCATATTAACAATGTACAATTTTAATTTTATCAAAGTTTTAATGTAATTTAATTTGAAAAAAAAAACTATTAATTGATTAATTATTTAATTCATTTCAGTGTTCAAAGAAGTAGTTTAGTAAAGGATTTCCGTAAAAATATTTTTGCTCCGATTTTTTAGGCCTGATAATTGGTTGTTGCTAGTTCTTTTAATAGTCTGTATTTATATGGCCAGTTTTAACACATTTAACCAATTTACACTTCTGTTTACCAAAAAATTTAAAATAAAATCCGATATGAGGTTTTAGAATGTTTTATTATTATTACATTTTAATGAATGCTGCAACCCTCCTGCAACGTTTGACTGTCTGTTCAAGTTTAAAATCTGCATATATCATACATACAAATATTATGTATTATTATTATTATGTTATTGTAATCAATTAATACAATGTGGGTGAGTGTCCAATGAAAGTGGGTTTGTCTTATTAAAATTTTGGCTTTCCACAAAAACTGTCCTCGGAAACTGAAGGAAATGCAAAAAAGTGTTTCATCTGTTCCCACTCTCCCCTATATTAAATATTATTCTGCTTCATTAGGCTTCAATAAAGCATCTGACATATTATCATGCTTATAAATTAGGCTATGTATTATGTTTATTATAAGAAAACAAAACAGACTAAATTTCACAGCTACTTGTAGACATTCACTAAATGTTCACTATATGTGTTTTCCCAATTTTTCGGAGTTTGTAGATGTAGATTTAAAAAAAAAAATAGACCACACGATGGCAGCACAGAATCTGTTTTTCGTCTAGATTTTCAGTGGTTAAAGATGAGACATACTACTGCGGATCTGAAGCATGAGAAGTGAGCGTTATTCATTTAGCAACTGTAGCGTCAACGTTAGTTTTCATTGAGATATGATGTACAGCACTGGATGTGTTTACGACGGGTCACGGGTGAAATGTTCAGATGATACCCAACAAATTTGATGTTTATAAAAGCTTTGAGAAATGAGCCAGGACAACAAATAAAACATTTGATTAAATCATTTTTATTGTATGTAATAATCAAAGTCGAAAAGCTGTAAGAGATGTTTTATATTACCATCCAAAAAAGTACATTATACAGAATATAACGACGATAAGGATATTGGTTATGAAAGAATATTCTATAAGGAAAATTAATACATTTCTTGCGTTTATGCCACGATAATGGGCATACACACATGTTGTACTTAAAAACACCGCATTATTCATTCTTCAAAAATCAAACTAAAACAGCGCACAAAACAAAAACATCAAAATTCACTCTGTTAACATCAATGAATAGGAACGGATTTATAGTCAGAAATTTATTTAACAATATACTTTAAATGCACTGAAATAATGGTTCATTGCAAACTGTTGCAAAAAAAATTATACAATCTGAATTTAAACAAACAAATTAAGGTGAACATTCCTTAATTTAATTTGTTTATTTAAATTCAACCCATATAATTTATTTACAACCACATACCTACACTGAAAATCTTTCACGCACTTCATTCAATAAAAAATGTATGTTTCATTTCAGTTTAATGTTATTAGTTGTATTTTTCAAGTAATATATTTTAAGATTAAAGCATAGTTAAATAAAGGTTTTTGATTAAGACCTCAACTAAGAAATATTTGTTTTGACCATTGCAAACTTTTAAGGTAATCCACACATTAATCCACACATCCACGCATGCACATTAAACAGAAGCTCAAAATGCTTTGTGCTTTCCTGGACTTAATAAAAATATTGTTCAGGGCAAATGATTTATGTTTCATTGGCTCAAGTGATCAAATTTAGATGTGAAACCATTACCCTACATTTTTGTTAATTGGATTAATGAACATTTTATTGGGAATTTTGGTTTTGACTAAAGCTATATCTTCTTGTTTAGAACAAAAATATAATTTAAAATTATCTGACTTTCCTCAACAAGACAAATATGCTTTTCAAATTGTTCTCATAAAGAATATTAAGGCAAATTATTTATTTTTCATTGGGGCAAGAAATAAAATTCAGATGTGAACCATTACCCTAATTTTTCTAAATTGGATGAACGAAAGCTTTTTTTTTCCAGTGTACTGTTAAAAGTAGTAAATCCAATTAAAAAATTTTGTATAGACCTAGATCAATAAATGTATAACCTTGTATACATTTATTTAATGTATAAAGACATATGAAAATATTTAATGCATGTAAGTCTAGTGGTGACTTAAACTGTGAATAATTGACTGTACTGAAATTTTTTAATTTATTTTATTTATTTATTTTAAATGTTTATCTATTTATTTTTAGAATTTAATATATTTTAAGCATCACAGTAGTTTACTAAAAGTAGTCAAAATTTATGATACCACTTGCATGCAACTGGATTTAAAACATCAAAACATTTAATTCCAGCATTCCCTTACTGCTCCCAAAAAACCCCATTATTTTAGGGGAATGCTAAATCATTATTGCTGTGTAAGTAATGTGAATACCCTCTAAAATAGGCTAATACTGAAATTGTAAATAGTTTTTGAGAACTATAATAGAATAAAAGCATGCTACAAGTTAGTTGAAGTAATAAAATTATATTTGTTTAGTTTAATTACATGAAAGTTTTAAGTTTTGCATTTTAATTAAACACTATATAAGCGTGTAGATATAAATTCACCATTTAATGTTGCACTGAAAAAAGGATTTTGCATAATTGTTGCAAACAATTTATATGGGTTGAATTTAAACAAACAAATTAAATTGAGTAATGTTGAACTTAATTTGTTTGTTAAAATTTAGCCCAAATAAATTGTTTACAATCACTTACCTTAAAGAAATTTTGTAAATCCAAGGAATCATCTTTGAATAATTTTTGTTTAGTGTACAAAACATAACAGACATAATAAATAAACAAATTAACTTTTTATCATGTAATTTTTACAGTATAAATATAATTTTGCATCGATTAAACTAACATAACACATCAAGTTGAAACCGAAACAACCTATTAGATCAAGTTAAATTAACGTAAAAACAAGTTGTCATTACTTTCATTTATTCATTCATTTTCTTTTTGGCTTAGTCCCTTTATTAATCTGGGGTCGCCACAGCAAAATGAACCGCCAACTTATCCAGCATATGTTTTACGCAGCGGATGCCTTTCCAGCTGCAACCCACCACTGGAAAACAAGCATCATTACTTTTTATTATAGAATTTTTACAGTGTAAATATAATTTAGCATCAATTACTTCAAGTTAAAATTTGTTTACTTAAAAAAACGGGTTTAAACCTGCTAAACTTTCTAAATCAAGTTAAATTAATGTAAAAAAAAATGTAAAAACGTTACTTTTTATTATGTAATTTTCACAGTAAGTATAATATTGCATCGATTAGGCTGACTTCCAGCAGGTTAAAATTTGTTTAACTTAAGAAAACATGTTCAAACCTGATTAACTTTTTAAAATCTCATTAATGTAAAAACAAATTTTCGTCACTTTTTATTATGTAATTTTACAGTGTACATATAATTTTGCATAAATAAGCTAACTAAAAATATCAGTTAAAACCTGATTAACCTTCTAAATCTAGTAAATTAACGTGAAACAAGTTGTCATTACTTTTTATTATGTAATTTTTACAGTGCAAATAATTTTGCATGATTAAGCTGACTAAAACTTTCAAAATCACGTTAAATTAGTGTAAAAAAAGGTGTTGTTACTTTTTATGTAATTTTTACAGTAAATATAATTTTGTATTGATTAAGCTGACTTAAAACAACAGGTTAAAATTTGTTTAACTTAAAAAAACATGTTGAAACCTGATTAACTTTCTAAATCAAGTTAAATGAACATAAAACAAGTTGTCATTACTTTTAATTATGTAATTTTACAGTTTAAATATCATTTTCATTCATATATATTTTAATAAACACTTCTGATAGCGTAGTTGGCTAGTTTAGTTTAGTATTTTAGTTTGTCTGTTATGTTGCTGTCACTGCTTTGACACAAACGAAGTAAGATTATTCCTGTTATGCCAACTTTAAACGATTATTTGGTTGTAGAATACGCTGCACTACTTCATTGTAACCAGAAGATGGAGCAATACATTTTTCCCCTCGCGTTTACAAATGACTTCTGATTCTACTCATATTGACTGCAAAGAACTGTAAAGCGGCAGGTTCGAGTTTATAATTTTATTTTCCACAAAACATACAACTACAAACTACAAGCATCAGAGATAGGCTAATTATTTGAGTACAAGCAATCTTACTAGATACATAAATACGTCTAATATAGATTTAGAACTGTACTGTAGTAAACCCTATGTAAACGCTATTTAATTACATTTTTGAAACAAATGTGATGTTTTAAGTGCAATCTGCGCATGGCAACTAGCGACATAGCGACTCTAGGAAGGATGCGGCGAGATCAGATGCTTAACGGAACCGGGAAAACTCCGTCACCTGCTGCTGCCTCACAATACAGTCTCCAAACGTTAAAAAAGCTCTGGATTGAATACAAACACGCCCGTAGTCCTGACGCTCCGGTAATGGCGGATGAAAGGTAAGATTGCGCATGTCGGCTCATGATGAAACTGCATGCCTGCAAGAATCAGTGGGTGACTGGTCATCCTGGTGTATTTACATTCAGATAGCAAGAACTCATTAGATTCAAGCCTATTGTCTGACTCTTTAATGTATTTACAGAATAGTTTGTGTTTTATAACAGCCAGAATTGACTACTGGAAGGCCATGATGACTAAATAGGCCTAAATAAAGTAGAATTGAATTCAAATGCATTTTGAAATATAGATAAATATTCTAAACCAAGATGTATAAAAATGACAAGATTTGAGTCATTTCTTTCAATGTTAAGTTTCACATTTGTAGGCTATTGATAAACTGATTTTAAAGTCCCGCATTTGACCGTTTCCGTCTCAGATTGCAAAATTATATAGGACTACTTCTGATTTTAGAAAACGTATAATTAATACATCATCACATCACCTGTAGATAAACCTGCTGAAAAATCGGCTACATAGCTAATTTCCTTTCTCATGTCATTAAGTTTATTAACCGCCAGGTGGCGCTGTCGGAAGTGAATTATTTCTACTGTAACTGTGAAGCAGATTGAACTATATCAAGCTCTGTTTGTTTGATGTTTTTATCTGGCACCATAAGATGAAAGCAGGCGAGCAAATCTAAATGTGATTTACGCCTAATTAAAACATGAATAGTAAAGCCTATTCTATAAATTTGGATTGAATTTAGGACTTCCATACAAAATGGCTGCCCATCATTCAATCATGTGTTTTAATCATCTTCACAGACACTGCCTATCTCATAATACAACATTATTAAACATTATACTTAAAGTTTTATTTTGAATATAAATTACATTTTTAATAAAACATCAGACATTTGACTTTATTGGCTTCACTAAATCTAACAACTTAACACTTTTTATAAAACGCAGTTCTGAGGTATAATTCACGAATTTATTTTAACTAAGCATAAAATGTAGTGCTAATTTAAATGTTTGAAGAAAAAGAGGTAATTCTTAAAACGTTTTGAAAAGCGCGGGAATAACTGTTTGCCTTTTTTCAACAGGTATTTGTCGAATTTGACAAGATATAGTCACGCTAATGAACTTCACAAAGATTGTCGGCTGTTTTCTGAGAGGTTTTGTTTTGTTATCCACATCAGTTTGGATAAGAATCTCTACACATCATATCCAGGTAAGTCGGCGTTTAATTTCATAATTTTCTAAACAGTTAAAATTGCTAGCGTCACCACAAAACGCGAGAAAACGGTAAGCTAATTCTAGCCTATTCAATTTATTATAATTATTACTTTGTTTGGCTAAAATCATTCATGGTTTGGATTAAAGGAGCTATTTAAACTCCTCTTAGATTTCACAGACGCTATGAAATATTCATGCTGGAAAATTCCTCTATTCCGCACAAATGAACGCGCCACCAGCAGCCCAAACAAAACTAAAATAGACGAACATTGGCTACAATAGCCTAAAAGTAAGTTTATACGTTAGTCTAGATGTGAATCTGAAATAATCATTGCAATGTTTTTTTGACTCAGGGTCAGACACGGATAACAAACAGCATGGCCGTTCACTCCATTTCAGGTGAGTCAGATATAGCCTAAATTTAAAAAGTGTTTTGCCTATAAATAAATACGACCATAACAATAATGTCCTTTCTGTGAGCGCATGAACATTAATCAACAGTGCTACCTGTTTAACTGATTTGATGGCTAAACTTTAATTTAACGATGTCACTCACAGTTATAGACTAGCATAATTATAATGTAGCTAATCCTTTATCAAACTCAAAAAGACGGTGTATAATGGCGTTCGTCAAATTTTATGAGGACTAGGAGAGAGCGCCTCGGAGAGGAAAAGAAACCCGAATGCTCTGTTCATACTTCCGTTCGACGTCATGGTTTAATTGTGACGCAATGAGGAGCGTTCAGGCGGTACAACATGTATAACCCTTTAACATGTTATCTTACTATTTTAAACGGGAACCCTGGTGCGTGCTGTTAAAATGTTATAAATGCATTTAAAATATTTGTTAAGAATTTAATGTGTTATTGGTTAAGTAACTTCTAGTTTTTTGGAGCAAACATGAAGTTAGTTCATTAACATTTTTAAACAAAGTGAAATCAAAATAAATAAATATAAATTATTAAATACAAGCTTACGGTTTTGTTTAATGTATTATGTAGGCTTTATTAAAATCGGGCAAATAACGAAAATACTAGGCTAAAGTGAATGTTTTGTTGGGGAAATGGTTAAATAATGAACGCTGTTTATTCCGTTTGAAACTGGAATTTAACCGATGATAACCCTGAAATACAATTGCGGTTTTAAGTTTCTTTTTAGTTTAAGTTTTTGTAATTACAATACAAACGAAAATCGATGAAAAAGCGTGAAAAAAATTGCTTTAAAAACAACTGATCATCTGTAAGTTGATTTTTGGTTGTTGTTGCAACAAAATAACCCAAATTCGCAATAAACACAAATTTAAATCGAAATTGATCTGTAATAATTACAGGAAACTCCATGCTTTAAAAATCTCCTTTTTATTTATTTGAACTATTCAGTTTATCATCAGTAAACATACAACTCTTCCTGTGTTAAAATGTCTGTAGGTCTGTTTGTATTTCAAACATTGTGTTTTTTTAAATAAAATAAAGTCTTACCTTATCCCAAAATCACAATTGTATCGGTCTTTGTATGAACAAATGATGTAGCAGCAGCCTTCACATGTTAAACTGAGAATGAAGCATTTCAAGTGTCCTTGTTATACTCGATATTTACCTCTGATTTGAGTCGGATCGGTTTCACAGCGTCGAAAAATAACTGTCGGGTTTGTGTTGACTTCGGAAGATGATTTCTGAGAGATTAAACAACTGAACGAATGTAACACCAAACCGAATGAAAAAGAGAAGAGCTGAATAAACTCTGGTGAACTCTATTGACCACTATGCGTTTCCTCAGGGGTTCGGCTTGTGGGGGTTGGTGAGGTGAAGGTATGGCGGATCCGAACTGCTCAATACATCCAAACAGTCACACAGACCCTCCAATCAGTTTCTTTTATTTAAGCACAAAGCATCGCCGTTTGTCGCAAAGCTGCATACATTGTCCATAAGCTTGCATCTGCCGTAAACCAAGTGTGTTATAGGAACTTGGATATTGCTTTCTATTAATATTCAAAGAATATTGTTTAGATGGTGGTTGGATCAGATATACAGATATTTATAAAGTGTTTTGCCTATAAATAAATACGAACCTAACAATAGTGTCCTTTATGTGAGCGCATGAACATTTGAAGTAAATCAGCAATGCTGCATTTTTGATTCAGTACATCCAAATATATTGTTTAGTTATTGGGTAAGTCAGATATAGCATATTTATAAAGTGTTTTGCATATAAATTAATATGAACCTAACAATAATGCCCTTTCTGTCAGCGCATGAACATTGGAAGTAAATCAGCAATGCTGCATTTTTTATTTAATACATTCAAATGTTCCAAACATATTGTTTAGCTAATGGGTAAGTCAGATATTCCCTGTATTTATAAAGTGTTTTGCCTATAAATAAATACGAGCCTAACAATAATGTCATTTATGCGAGCGCATGAACATTAGAAGTAAATCAGCAATGCTCCAAAATATGGTTGTTCAAAGTTCATCCATTTGAAGGCAAAGTACAACTAAATGGTATGAAATCAAGACCAAATTAAATATTTCCTTTGTTCAGTCGTTTTTTAAAATTCTTTTAAGTTAATTTGTAAATTTAAAAATGCTGAGCTTGTGAATTAAAATGTCAATTTGCAATGCATGTGTTCTACATTGCATTTCAATATAATGTACATTTGGATAGCACTAATATAAAAGACAAATTCACAGGAGGAAATAATTTGTCTGGTGTTTGGTTGAGTTTGGATTTGAACCAATGGTGTCCAAAGAGAAACAAAAAGTTTTGTTTATTTCTTTGAAAGAAAAACGAGGTCCTTCAAAAGTGAAACTGTAAAAGTTTATTGTGTTTTATGAACAATTCAGGATTGCAAGTTTTAATTGAACACTTTATGTATTGTTGAAAATATTGCATATGTATCCTTTAGTTGTTGAGTCACATTTTTGCTACACTGTAAAAGATTATATTGTCAATTAGTCATAACAGCAAATGTTTTAGTTCAGTGTAACTTATTAAACTAAGCTAATCATGTTCTAACTTAATTTTATAAGTTAAGCAAGCTGTCAGTTAACATAATATAAGTTTAATTTGATTCAGCTTAAAAATTTAGGGCAACCATGTTTTTTTTACAGTGTAGTTTATTCTTATTTATTCAAATGTTTACATAAAATATAATGACTAAAGTTTTGTGTCGTTGATTTGAAGAGCGCTTAAAATTACTTACAAACTCCACAGCTTCAAAAGTAACGCGTTCAAAACTAATATACAATCAATTTTTTATATATTTTATGCACGACTTGGGGCTCTTATTGCTAATCAGTCCAGCACTGAACTCAATATGTAAAACATTAACTTGTGTATACAAATATTTCGTTTAAATAACCTGCTGCTGATTTACGCCAAGCTGGTGTTTATTTTATTTAAACTTTAACATCTCAATGCGTATTTTTCCCCTTGGATCAGTATCAGTGCTGAAGGATTCTCTGAAGATATGCGTCGCCGTTTTGCGCTTTCAATAAAGACACAAACTATTAAAAACTATTAAACTTCTTCTTTTATCAATATGTGCATTTTCGATTCTTGTGAACTTTAACGGGATCAAATGGGGACATGTAGGGTGTGTCCGTGACCGCGTGGGACGCGTTTGCCGGCACTCTCGGGGCTATTTTATGAATGGTGGATAGGAAACCCTCGTGCAGGAAATGAGAAACTCCATAACATCTGACACCGGTGACCAGTTCCATGACCTGCGCCGTAATGGCACGACCACCATCATCCCCTCCACGCACCAGCAAACACACACACACATATACACATAGCATCTCCTGTAGCAGCTCTGGCGCAGGGGGTGGAGGTTTTGGGGGCAGGGGTGAATTCCGGAGGGTGGTCGGCATACATGGGTGGGGGTGGGTGAAGTGGGCGGGGCGTACAAGCGGTGGGGGTAGTTGTTGATTCACTCTTTCAACGTGTTTTTCCTCTGACTCAAAGACAGGGAAAAACATCCTCAGCAAGGATTCAGGTTCCAATCAGAACGAATTTCTTGCAGAAACTAAACGTAATTTTTTTATAACAGGAGATCATTATTTTAGTTGTGATTATGATAATTATTACTTGAATTTCGATTTGTTGGATTGGTGCATTTGGCTATAGCTTGACTTTTTATGTCATTATTTTTTAAGTGATCACTGAGATACAGTTCTAACGAACACACTAAGCACACACACATAAAGGAACATAGAATCCTCCGACTGATTCCATTCTATGCGTTCCATGTTGTCATGTAGAACATTCCATTTTCCTCTCATGCTATTTATTAAAGTGATCTGCTGGTGGTTTTGGATCAATGCTGCCTTTTCATCAATGTACAGATAATGCCGCTTGTGTGGCTATAATTCAATTCAGTGGAAATTTACACTAACCGTCTAAAAGTTTATGTTTTTTTAAGTTCGTTCTTTCAACAAGTGCACTTTTGCCTTAAGTATTTATAGGTGCCTGAATATTTGGTAAACCACTAAAACATTGTGTCTGCGAGGACTTGGTCAATAAGCTTTTCTTATTCTAGTTCAGTCTCATCGTTTGTACTGCAGCAAACAACTAACGCAAACTGCAGCGTGCTTCAACAAACGACAATTAGTGATGACCTCATGTCTAACAAACTATAATCTGCAATGTTAAAACAAAAGAAAAACTTGATCAGCAGAAGAGAAACACATTGATTTAAGCGATTTTTTAAAAGTTCTCATAATTGCATACTAAAGAATACCTACATAAATGTATGCGCTATACTTTTAATTCCAACAACTTAGCATAATACAACAGTTTTTAGTTTGAATGTTAATGTAAATGTATACACCTCTCGAAAAATAGGCTACACTGTTTTCAGATAAATTCTGGAAAATCTGTTGTCGTCGCTCGAAAAAGTGAGAACATTACAAAATGAAGTGTTATACAAGTATTTCCTTTCATAAGGCTACAAAGTATAACTACTGTGGTTACCAGCGGCTGGAATTTGGTTACATAACGCATCATTAAAATTGTTACATATAAAGGAGACCGATTCTAGACTTTTTGTTCCTTTGAATAACCAAACACGTGCAAAAACAAAATTTTAGACGCTAAAGCACGCTTTTAAAACTAAACCTGTTCAAACGGAGATGCTTTTACGTGACGCAGCCGAAGAGCTCGAAGTCCAGCCCGGTTCCGAGTCCGCTCCCTCTCCCGGGCTCACGGAGGAGTCACGTGTGCAGCGCTGCGAACGAGCGAATGAGAAACGGAGAGCGGGAGAGAGAGAGAGAGTGAGCGAGTGCGCGAGGGAGGGAAAGAGAGAGGATAGGAGATGTTAAAAGAGACATGACTAAATATCCAAAAAGGAGACGCACGCCGTACCATGCGCGCTAAATTTGTGCCCGCTGGAAATCGGGATGTCGGATCGACGGTGACGCGCATCACCCCATTTCACGGAGGAAACGATTTCGCTGGAACTTTGGAACGGAGGGTCCGCGGGGAAACATGGCCGAAGGTTACGATGCTTTTTTTATTCTTTTTTTCCGCGTTCACGTGGGAAGTCCTATTGTTGCACGCGCACCGCCGCGCTTTGTTTACGTTGTTTGTACGCGTGCTGAAGAGCCGTTTGCGCCAGTGGCATTGAAGGGGGGTGGGAGCGGACGAGAGAGGGGGGCCGGGTAACGTGTGCACACCTGCCCCACACCAGGCGGTTTACATACGGTAGATGCACGAGCACAAAAAGTTGTAGTGTAGCTACAAAACTAAACAGATTGTGCAATCGCAATACACTGCGCCATCCCATCCGAAGAGGTGTACCTCTACTTTTGATTCACTTTCTATAGCTTTTCGGAGAGTAAGAAAGGATGTAACGAGGCTTGGAGCAACACATTGTTCAAGTCTGAGACTTTGCCATTGAAAAAACTCATTAATCATAAATAGTAGGGGGCGTCTATGGTGGTCAGGGCCCATCGGTGATTTGAACGCGTGTTTATTGAGTAGTAGTTGGGGATTTCCCTCAGAATCGCTGCCCACGGTCATTGTGCATATCGAGAAGTGTAGGCTACATCTCATTAACACACAAGCAAACAAACATCATCATCCTTATCATCATGGGCTTTTCTCTCTTGACCGCACAGGAGGGCCGCGCAGAGGTGGCGGGTCGGACACCGCCAGGACTCCGCCGCAGAGTCTGTCTGGCTCGGGTTACTGCAAGTGGTTCAATGTCCGCATGGGGTTTGGATTTATATCGATGACCAGCAGCGAGGGGAAGCCAGTGGACCCTCCGCTAGACGTGTTCGTTCACCAAGTAAGTCCACTGGGCTCATTCGCTGTGCTTGCAGCCTTTCTCCTTCACCCGTTTTCACGTTATCTGTCGCATCTCATTGACATCAGCAGATGTGCTCGTGGAAAGCAGAAGTAAACATGCGCTTGTGTTTTCATCCCCTGTCACTTTAAGAGCCGCACTACTCACTCCTAAAAACATCTTTACTCTGGATCACCTCCATTGATATAATCACAAGAACGCCGTATTAGTAGTAAACAAGGAGGTATTTACGCGGCAGCTCTTAAAGGAACCTCAAGATTTAATTAGGGGAAAAAGAGTGTTTTTTTTGCGACAACTAGTAATGTAGTGCTCAGAGAAACATGTCTGATAAACATGTCGGAAAATCTGTCACACGAAGCACACCGCTTTCACAATCGCACTTTTGAGGCGATTTTCAGTGTGCACCGTTGTACTGAACATCATGTGCTCTCGTGTTTACATGGGTGTCGTTCAGCTCCCTTCACACAATATTTCGCCCTTTCAAATGTACATTGAGAGCTAAATCAATTCGGACACGTGTGCTAAACCGGAAATTATCCCCTTTCATCATTTTCCATGCGTTCTATGGTTCCTTAAAATAGAATATGCAAATGAAAAGAACAAAAGCGGGCCGAACAAGAGCTTTCTTCTGAGTTCCATTAGCACGCGGGCTCAACTGTTGTTCTGCTGTCAGTTTGGCTGATTTCGGTTACATTGTGTTCTTGTAATCTGTCTTTGATACTATTGTCGAGCAGTGTTATGTTTGTACTTGCTGGATGTTAATGAGATGGTAAAATGATTCATGTGACTTAACATTTCCATTGTTACGAAACGCATCTGCATAATCCTTGAAAATCTGAAATTCAATAACAGAAGCTAGTTTGCACAGGATACACACCTAGTCATATCTATCTATCTATCTATCTATCTATCTATCTATCTATCTATCTATCTATCTATCTATCTATCTATCTATCTATCTATCTATCTATCTATCTTGAACACGTATTGAAGCAAACTATTTTAGTTTTTTCCCCCATTTATGTTTGATTAGTGTTTACTGTTTTTCTTTTTTCCCTGAAAGACTGACATAACATTATACAAATTTTCTGAATAAACTACAGTGAGAACTCATTGTAATTGATGTAAAATTATTATGTGGCAATTCAGTAACATAACAGCTTGTAGTGTTTGTTAAAGATACATTTTATTTAAAGTTTTCAAATTGAAAACAGCAGCTTTATCTTTTCTTTTTATTGTGAAATGTTTTTATGTTTATTAATGTATTTAGCTGGACTTGAAATATTTTGTGTATTTATATTTGATAAGCAATTTTTGTTTGTCGTTTGTTCCTAAAAAACAATCTGATTGCATGATGAGTTTGATGATGAAAGCGGTTTTGAAATATGCATAATTTCAAAGAAAATACATCTATCTATCTATCTATCTATCTATCTATCTATCTATCTATCTATCTATCTATCTATCTATCTATCTATCTATCTATCTATCTATCTATCTATCTATCTATCTATCTATCTATCTATCTATCACATTTATAAAAAGTGTAATATATTTCACTTTAATAAATTACATCTGTCATTCTATCTTCTTGATTAGATAAAATGTTTTTAAATGCCATAATGTATTAGCAGAATTCCAATAGTATTTTTGGGGGGGGTTTGTCATTGTTTTTGTCATTTTAACATTGATCAAGATATTTTGCTGTAGATTTCTATATTAGATTGGTGTTTTTTGTTTGCTTTGTTCTCCAAAGAGATAGCCAAATATTATGCATGTTGTTGTATTTAATGGCTCATCGCTATTGTTATATAAAATAAGAAGCTTCAACAACATAACAGCTAGCTTGGACAGCGTAAACATTGGGATCTGTATTTCTGTCTGTCTGTGTATTTTTTATTTTTATGATTTTTTTTTCTATCTATCTATCTTACCGAGTTATTAAACATCACAGTACCGCACAATAGCTGTTTCTTAAATACGTAGTTTTAATATATTTTGTTGTTACTGAATTACAGTTATTTTTATTGTTATATTATTTACACATTATATATTGTTTTTTTAGATTTTTGTTAAGGTCTTGATTTGTTGAAAGGGAAATAATGTAAAATAACTATTGAGAAAATCTATACTGATCCTAGAGTTATTGAACATCACATTAGTGCACAATAGTTCTACCTTGAACATGTATTAAAGCAATCTATTTTATATATATATATATATATATAT